TTGTCTAAAAATTACTGCTAAAATGAAATTAACTACTGTTGATTTAGTTCTGAATTCTTTAATTCCATTGATTAAACGTGCCATGTAATTTAATGGTGTAAATAATAAATAAATAAATGAAGCAAGTTCATGGTCCCTGGTAGAGTTAATACACTCATGTCTAGCACCCTGTTTTAACACTCCAAGCCTTGATTAAATTCTAACACCTACTCAACCCAGGAATTTAGGGTGTCTGGCACCCGCAAACTCATAACACTGTAAATTATATATGAGGAAATTGTGGTTTTCCAGATATTGGGATTCCAACTCTCATCAGTCCTAAAAATCATGTCCAGTGATGATGGGAGTTGGGAGTCCAGCATTTGGAGGGCTACAAGTTCCCCATCCTGGATATAGACTAACAGTTTCTGACTTCCAAACTAAAATGACAACATTTCCACACAAGAGGGAGGTGTGAGCAAGGAAAAGCAAGGTTTGCAGAAGTGCAAAAAAATGTTTTTAAATCCCCTGGAAAAGGACTGAGCCACAGAATGCTGACTGAGTGTTGGAGGGGAAAATCCTAGGAAACTGGGTTGGGCGGGGGGAGAGACAGAATGAGATATTCTGAGAGAGGCCGTGGCTGGCTGGCTGGTTGGAACACTGGCACACACCACATGTTAACATTTTGCTGCAAGTCCAACTTGTTCATTTATATTTGTGTCGTTTCCAGCCTTTCTCTACTGGCAGGCACATGATGCGGTGTGTGAATGCCTACTAGCCTACTGCACAAAGGCAGAACTGACATTTGTTGCCCCACTCACTATTGCCTCTGGACCCGACCACCGCTGACAGACCATGGGTTGTCCTATTGGATACCGTAGAAGCCAATCAGAGCTCATGGAGTGTTAATCAATCAGGAGGGAGTGGAATTTTTAAAAAAATAGAACTGGACTGTTAAACTGCCAGATAGGGCAACCCAGATTATTTCCCTGAAGAGAAGGAAAAGATCCTAGAAGGGGCTATTGTTGGACCCATAAGCTCCCCAGTGGATTTTAGGAACCATCTACAAACACACAAAATATTACCTGCCCAAACAGCCATTAGAAAGCAAACCAAAAATATATTTAGTTTTTAAAGTCTAAACTTTACCATGGCTCAGGATTCAAGCCATCCTAATGCAGTTCTTATAGCCATTCCAAAAAGACACTTGTCAGGGTGTGCTTTAACCGAGAGGCTGGAGGATCAGGGTGCAGGATCCAGATTCACCCTAATGCAGGGCACTTGCCATCCCAATGCTAACGCTTTCTTGCCTGAATGAGCTGAACAAAATAACACAACACGATGGCCAATAACAATGGCACTAAACACTATTTATAGACTAATACAAATGATCAGAAATTGCAACCAAAGTCTCTACATCTTCTTCACCAGTGGCAGTAGAATAATTCAAAAGTTTGATATATACATAATCTGTCACCAAATATCGCCGGAACAGTTTCTGGATAACCAATCTGTTTCATTAGATGCTTCATCAGCCAATCTTGATCAATTCTTCATCAGCCAGACTTGTAAGAATTAATGTGAGAAAGATTGTATTAGTCTATAAATAGTTATTTTGTTCAACTCTTTCTTGCCTGGCTGCTTGTGGAAGGCCCCTAAAGCCCACCCTCTGGGCAACCCCAATATCTCTGAGCTGCACACATCCTGAAGCCAACCAAACATACCTGAGCTGCACACGTACCTGTAGCCAACCAAAAGGGCACCAATGCCTTTCAATGGCCATCCGGCATCATTCACTTTCAGCCTGTCTCCTTGCCTCAAATGTGACTGGCAATGCAGTTCTGGATTTATCTAGGTGGGGCTCCAGATGAGCCTTGAGAGTGATCACTCCCAGCCAGGTAAGTGGGTTCAGGACTGCAGTCTTGGCGTTCTGAGGCTGGACTGGAAGCAACTCAGTAAATAAGCTCAGGATAACTCTTGAGACTCCCAGCGTCGTCATTATTATTATTATTAGTAGTAGTAGTAGTAGTAGTAGTAGTATACTGCCCTTCATTTAGCATAACTAAATCATGGGGTTTCTGTGTTTGGCAAAGTTGAATCAAACCTTAATTAATTCAGACTTTCACTAAATCCAGGAATTTAGGGAACTCCCTCCTCCCATTGTAAAAATAAAAATAAATAAATAATCTTGTTAGAAGCTCCATCTTTAGCAAAAACTAAGAGTCTTAGTCCAAAACCAACCTTGTTTTGTTTACCATCAACCCAATGAAGTCTTCCAGAGAACTGGAAAGCTTGCATACCCTTTTGGAACATTTTGACTGGCCTAGCATAGTAGGGCCCTAATGTGGAATTTGACATCGTTCATATAAGTCAGCACAACTGCTTTTGTTTTTTCCCTGAGACATAACTATGTACACACCATGCATTTAAAGCATGCTCCCCTCCAAAGCATCTTGGAGAGTAGCTTTATCTCCTTACGGTGGGTGCTGAGGCACAGCAAAGGCAATGGTGGTGTGGTCCCAGATCTGCAGGGGGAGGGCGGTGGCAGGGTTTTTTGTTTCAAGCTCCAAAATGTCCTGGGCCAGCCCAGAGACCTTTGGAGGAACTGGGGAGGGACAGTGTTGTCCATGGGCCCTTCCACGCATCATTTTTTAAATTGTGCATTCATGATGGCCTGTGCTCATGATGGCACTGGGGCAGTTATATGTGATCCCACTTTCAATACTGTTTATGCCTGCAAATGTTTTGGAGCAGACATACTACTTCACTACCAATCAGTGCCTATCCCAGAACTTTTGGTTCTTACCTTTCTTTCAACCACTTTTCTTGTAGTATAGTGCAGGTGGCAGTAATGCAATAACACTGGGGAAGCATTTCAGAACAGCTAATAAAGTGAACAGGTGTGCAGATGGTCCAGTATAAATCCACCACTAAGGCATTATATTTGAGCTAATGCCATGCTGCAAAATTTAACCACGAGAAAACAACAGCCTACCACCAGATTGGAAGGATGCTATTTCATGAGTCTTTATTGAGTTAGAACAGGACTCACCAGATGTCACTTTACTAAGAGTCCCATCAAACCTGGGGCCAGCTGTGGAGTCCTGTGTCCAGTTCTGGGTGCCACAATTTAAGAAGAACATTGATAAGTTGGAATGTGTGCAGAGGAGTGCAACCAAGATGGTCAAGGGTCTGGAAAACAAGCCTGATGAGGAATGGTTGAGGGAGTTTGGTATGTTTAACCTGGATAAGAGGAGACTGAGAGGAGATATGATAGCTATCTTCAAATACTTACAGGGCTATCATGTGGAAGATGGAGAAAGCTTGTTTTCTCCTCCAGAGGTTAGTATCTGAACCCATAGATTCAAATTACAAGAAAGGAGATTCCTGTGAAACATCAGAAAGAACTTTCTGACAGTAAGAGATGTTCAACGGTTGAACAGACTCCCATGAGAGGTGGTATACTCTCCTTCCTTGGAAGTTTTTAAGCAGAAGTTGGATGACCATTTGTCATATATGATCTAGTTGAGATTCCTGCATTGAAGTGGGTTAGACTAGATTACCATTGGTGTCCCATCCAACTCTACGGCTTTATGATTCTTTTTTTTTAAAAAAAATATTTTTTTATTGCTCAATTTCCACATAACAAATTATCAAACCATATAATGACCTACATAATCCCCCCCCCGCCCCGGACTTCCCTCAGCTCCTCTTCCTGGTTTCACTGCACATATTTTCTCTGCATATTATAAAATTGTATATATCCTTACATATCTTTCCATCATGTTATCAACAATAAATTTGTGTATGTTTAATTCAAAACCTGCCAAAGAGTCCAGTTCATTTTGTTGTGTTTTTAAATAATTTGTATAAAGTTCCCATTCCTCCGTAAAGTCACAGTTGTCCTTGTCTCACAGTTTGTATGTCAATTTAGCCAGTTCTGCATAATTCATCAATTTCTCTTGCCACTGTTCTTTTGTCGAGGTTTCCCCATTCTTCCATCCTTGTGCTATCAAGACTCTTGCCACTGTTGTAGCATACATAAACAAGTTCCTTATTTCTTTGGCAGGTCTTGTCCTACAATCCCTAACAAAAATGCTTCTGGTGTTTTTTTACAAATGTCATTTTAAACATTTTCTTCAATTCATTATATATCATTTCCCAAAGTTTTTTAAATTTCTTTACATTCCCACCACATATGATAAAAAGTGCCTTCTTTTTCTTTACATTTCCAGAAAATGTTAGAGCTGGTTTTATACATTTTTGCTATCTGTACTGGTGTTATATACCATCTATACATCATTTTCATATAATTTTCTTTCAGAAGGGAACAATCTGTACTGCTTTATGATTCTATGTTCAATCAAGCCACAATTGTGCTGTTTTAGGTTTATGGAATCCACAGAGGCTCTGGCAGTACTCCAACAGAAGACTGTTTCAGCCTCTGAGTACTCCCCATAGTTGTACTTTTACTTCTTAAATTTATTTAACAAGAGTTATATCCCACTTAATAATAATAATAATAAACCCTCTCTAAATGGCTTACACAAAATAATATAAAATATTCATAAGAAAATATCAATAAAATCGACAAACTTTAAAAGTAGACACAATAAAATTATGAAAGTACAGATGAAACCAACAGTTTTGAAAAACAATATACAAAATAAAATATCATTTGGTACAGGTAATGGTCCTAAGGGAGTGCCCACTTGTCAATCACAGTTGGACATAAAAAGGTAAAGGTACCCCTGCCCGAAGGCCAGTCGTGTCCGACTCTAGGGTTGTGTGCTCATCTCACTCTAGAGGCCAGGAGCCGGCACTGTCCGAAGACACTTCCGGGTCATGTGGCCAGCGTGACTAAGCGGCATCTGGCGAGCCAGCACCAGTGCCACACACGGAACGCCGTTTACCTTCCCGCTATAAAGCGGTCCCTATTTATCTACTTGCACTTAAGGGTGCTTTCGAACTGCTAGGTGGGCAGGAGCTGGGACCGAACGATGGGAGCTCACCCCGCCGCGGGGATTCGAACCGCCAACCATACGATCGGCAAGTCCTAGGCACTGTGGTTTTACCCACAGTGCCACCCGCTGTGACATAAAGGATAAGGCAATTCTAAGGGTATCCAGAATATCGATCCTTTCTTCTTCATAAATATGATGCCTGAAAACTCTCCCTCTTCATGGGATGAGGCAGGAAGGCATATGCACACATTGCTGGTTTAAAGCATACAAAAGCCATTTTAACTCAGATTTACTCAGTGAGCATTTATGTAAACCCATCTTCACATTTATGCTTTAATGTCAATTTCAGGTAGACTTATGCTGGTTCATGCCATGCACATCAGTCGTCATGGTGTGATGGGATGGATATGAATTGTTTCACTGACATTCCCTCCCCTCAACTAGCCTTCGAAAGTCTGTTACTGCTTCCAGAAGTAATGTAATCCTATCTGCTTTCCACACCTGAACAATTGGAAACCATCCAACAACTAGGTAGTCACACAATGTGCTTCCTGATATCTACACAACAGAGCGATGCAAATTTATATTGCATTTCCCCAATGCTCTCAACTTAAAATAAGAATGAGAAGAAGTGGAGAATAACTTCAGAACATGTGTTGGATATGTATGATGTAGTGTGACAATTTGGAAAACGTCCGCACTTGCTGTGCACAGAATGCTTTTTAAAATTTGATGTGTACACAGCCCAAATCTTGTTAAATTCTAATTTCTTGGAAGTGTCTGGGAGAGAGGGAGAGAGGTACTGAATGTGTGTATGTTATATGTGAGAATAGATGCATGTGGGTATAATGTGTGCATGTGTATGAATGCAAAATTGTATTTGTGTGTGGATGTAAATAAGTGTGTGTGAGAGAGAAAGAGAGAGAGAGAGAGAGAGAGAGAGAGAGAGAGAGAAGAGTGGCCTCGCCCCCACCCACCTTTTGCAATGGCTCTTCCCACCAGTAGCATGTGGCTCATGGAAAGTTAGCCATCAAAGAAATGAAAAAGGTTCTTCTCAACTCCGAGTATATTTCACTTCTCCATCGCTGCCCCAGAGCCACCCAAGGCCAACTCAACTATTAGGCAGAATGAGGCAACCAGCTCAGGCAGGAAATGCTGGGAGGCAGGGAACAGCAGCAAGATTCTGGGGAGCTGTTTGCACAAGTGGCCTACAATGTGCTCCCTAGGCAAGTCTACTACCTTCAGGCATGGTGGAGATGCTGTTCTGTTGCTAATGCTGAAGGCAGAGATTCAACCACCAGTCTTGTTCAGCTTCTTGTGTAGAATAGGGGGCGGTGGACACACCATCTTGTCTTCTGCCTCAGATAGCAAAGTGACTTGGAGGAGTTCTGAAGGCACCCCACTCTTCTGCTTCTGAGACCAGGGATGCTTCCAGTTGCCTTGTTAGTAGAGCATTCATCCTGATTTCATTGCAGGGAAATTAGCTGCCATTGGCTATTTAATGAGGATTTGTTATGATTTGCTTCCAGGAAGTTAAGATGATGCTTGTGTCAAAACTGGCATTATCCCACACATTCCAGTGCCTTTCCCTTTCCTTATTGCAAAAGAAGTTCAGTGTTTTGAGGGAAGCGGATTTGTTGCGCAAGACCTCTTATAATTGCACAACTTTACTTTGCCAGTATGTGATTGAACTCCCTCGAAAACAGCGACAGACAGGAAGCTCCCTGGCTTTCCATTTGGGGAGGGCTCTTTCCGTCGACTACCAACTGTATGCTAACACCTGCCCCTTTAAACACCTTGCAACATCTTGCAGATGAGCTTGGAGCACCTCAGAATCAGGTTTGGCCTCGCTGCTGCAGTTTCTTCAATTCTCTTAATACCACTTTGAATCCCCAGTCCCAAGGGAAAATGTGGAGCACCTCATTTAGGGAGTAGTTGTAGACTGTGGCTTCCGGCCCTGTGGCTGCATTTTCAAAGCCAGCATGGCTCTCCGATACAAATCTGTGGAAGAAGGAGCCATAGATGAAACAGGGTGACCACTTACCCATTGCCAGAAAGAGGAAAAAAGAGGACATACATTCAGTGGCGTAGCATGGGTTGTCAGCACCCAGGGCAAGGCAAGTAATTTGCGCCCCCTAACCCGTGAGGCAGGTAGGGGCAGAGAGCTGCAAGTGCGAGCGCCCCCCCCCCGATTTTGCGCCCGGTGCGGCCGGCCCCCCCTGCACCCCCCACGCTATGCCACTGCATACATTTGCACAAAGTGGGGAAGATTGTGACCAGGAGACCTGCTCAGTCTGCCATCCTGCTGCTAACTGTTGATGGGAAACTTCACTGGCCTCTGAAAGTTCTCCCTTTTTATGGTTCTTTAAAGAATTTTGAAGCAGACAGCCCTTCAGACAGGGGACCATCCTGTGTAAAGTAGGACACAGTCACCCTGGGGTGATCTAATTACTTTTTCTTAACTGTTATACATACAAAGGAAATAACAAGACCTCTAGTCCTACACAAATCAAAAGTGGAGTCCCTAAGGCAGCTAGATGGCCCTTTGTCCACCTCCTTCCAGCAACTCCTGCAGCCAAGCTGGTGCTAAACATACTGCTCTGTTTTCCTTTGGACTACATCAGGGGGGCTGAGAGGAAGAGTCTTGTCCTCTGGGGATGCCAGGACCTCCACACTGCCCAGGCTTGTGCCCTGGGGAGATCACTTTGACACTGCTAACACAGTGGTCTGGCTTCATCCCCAGAGGTGCACACCAGTGCCTCTCAAGACAGATGAATGCCAACAACAACAGGTGCCTCAACAGGTGGGATGATATAAATCTGACAATTATTTAAGAAGATGCATACCCTGGTTATCCACCCAAGGATGAACAAGACAGCTAAGTAAATAGTTAGCCTAAAGTAAAAGGTAAAGGTAAAGGCACCCCTGCCCGTACGGGCCAGTCTTGCCAGACTCTAGGGTTGTGCGCTCATCTCACTCAAGAGGCCGGGAGCCAGCGCTGTCTGCAGACACTTCCGGGTCACGTGGCCAGCGTGACAAGCTGCATCTGGCGAGCCAGCGCAGCACACGGAACACCGTTTACCTTCCCGCTATAAAGCGGTCCCTATTTATCTACTTGCACCCGGAGGTGCTTTCGAACTGCTAGGTTGGCAGGCGCTGGGACCGAACGACGGGAGCGCACCCCACCGCGGGGATTCGAACCGCCAACCATGCGATCAGCAAGTCCTAAGCACTGAGGTTTTACCCACAGCGCCACCCGCGTCCCACAGCCTAAAGTAGGAATGAGCAAATATGTAAAAGCTGGGTTCTCTCAGTTTATAATTTTTCTAGCCTTGAAAATTTATTTATCCACATTTCTACATAACTTGGTAAGTCCTCATGAACATTTTCCAGCATTTTAGTGAGAAATTTTCCCTTATACATTTGTTTTGTATGCAATTTTGCCTAATCCTGCTTCCACCTCAATATGGAAGCATTGCTACAGGACTTAACATTTGCCCACAATCTGGCTCAATAAAGACCCTAAAACACACAGAGCTTTTGTTCCCCCCCCCAAAGCTAATCAACCTTATTTGTTGCTTTAATGAGTATCATTGATATTTTGCAACCCTTCCCACAAATCCCTTTCCTAGCTGAGTAAGATCTACCAAAAGTGCTTGATAGGTGCTCGTTTGGCTGGGTCTGTGATGATTCCTGAGATTTGACTTTATTTTTCAGTCTTTTATTTTTCTTCTTTGTGCTTTGTCCTGAAAAAAGAGAAGTGGGGAGGGGGGAATGGAATAAATTCTCTGGTTTACAAGCCACAGTAAACTATGGTTTGACATATAGTTACTGGTTAAGGAAGACAGAATTAACCAGAATCCCAGATTTGTGCTACAGACTCAAACCTGATTTCAGAGCCACATCATACAGTAGTAACTAGCAGGGACAGAAGGATCTGTCAGTAGTGGTTCTCTCAATCTCTCATTTTTCCAATCATAAATTCAGTTCTCTGCATGTATGTAGCATTTACACACATATTTTTTTAAAGGAATCCTCACAAAAATTCACCAACGTTTGGGGAGCATGGCTAGCCAAGGAGCTAAATGGCAACATAGTTTAGTGTCTCTAATTGCCTAAGGACTACTTTGATGCAGAGTAGACACATACAATTCTAAAGCCCTGGCAGACTAAAGCTACACAGACTCCAGGGTCCAAAAAATAAGTAAGCAAGACTCAGTATTCAAGAAGAAATTGACGAATCCTTCTTTCAGGCCTCAGATTCAGAGATGGTCAAGGGAGGAATGAGAACACAAAAAGGCATGAAAATGCTAACAACCGTGGAGGAAGACAAAGAATCAGACTACTACATAAGCAAGATAAGGAAAGCTCTTGTCTCAGATCGGGCAGAGCTTTCAAACAGAAGTTTAAATATCTATCTGGGCAAATTGCAGACTGGACTAATAAAAGCAGTAGAGCTAAACCTAGAGCTAAACAACCAGGTGGACATTCAAATGCTACAAATGGCAACAGAAGATCTGGCCCTAAAATTGGAGGAACAATCTGATTGAGCAATGAGGGTTTTCCCCCCCCAGTGACAGCATGATGGTTCATCCTTGTCCACCTTCCCTATATAAGGTGGTGTGAAACAGGGCTTGACTCTCTTTGGCATATTCTTCTTCCTGTTGCTCTCCAATGCCTTCAGCTCGGCTGAGGACAGTGTGGACTTCCATTCAAGGAGTGAAGGAGGCCTGTCCACGCCAAGATGAAAGCATGGCAGATCCTTACCTGTGAGGTGTTGTTTGCAGCTGACAGCGCACTCTGAGGCAGTTCTACAGAGAAGCACTCAACCCTGAAGCTCACTGGAGTGATCTTGGGCCTGTCACTGTCTCTCAACCCTAACCTACCTCAGAGGATTGGTGTGAGGATGAAATGGAGAGGGGGAGCACTACCTCAAGCTCTTTGGAGGAAAGGTGGGATGGAAATATAATATTGCTACTTCTTCTTCATCGTCATGCTTCTAGCGTTTCTATCATGTTAATAAGAAATCTATGTTTACCTGCTGGGGGTGGAGTTGATTCCAGAACTCTGGGGTTCTCTTGGGCAACCTTGTTGCTGGGGCGGCGGACAGTGACACCTCCCACTTTGCTCCCACTTGCTGCTGCTTTCGCACTGTCATCTTCTGTCAAGGTATTCTCCGACTGCACCAAACTTTTCTTCTTCACCTTCAGCTTTAATTTCCCTTTCTTTTTCTTGGAGGCCACCGGCATTTCTTCCTGCTGAGCAAAAACAAAGTGTGTGCGTGTGAGGAAAAGCCCTGTCTCTGGGAATGCTTTCAGAAAACGTGGCACAGAAAATGTCAGGAACATAGGAAGCTGTATAACTGAACCAACAATTGGTCGATCTAGCTCAGTAATGGACTGGCAGCAATCCTTCACGCTTTCAGGAAGGAATTATAAGTTGCACCGGCCAACTTGTAAATGCCAAGGACTGAACCTGGGCGTTTCCGCCTAGAAAGCAGGTGCTGTGCCATTGAACTATGGCCCTGCGCACTAGGGATGCTGGAGAATTCCAATGAAAATGGAAACTGCCAATGTTCACCTAAAGTGGTACCTCTGGTTACGTACTTAATTCGTTCCGGAGGTCCGTTCTTAACCTGAAAGTGTTCTTAACCTGAGGTACCACTTTAGCTAATGGGGCCTCCCGCTGCCACCACTCCTCCGGAGCACGATTTCTGTTCTCATCCTGAAGCAAAGTTCTTAACCCGAGGTACTATTTCTGGGTTAGCGGAGTCTGTAACCTGAAGCGTATGTAACCTGAAATGTATGTAACCCGAGGTACCACTGTATTCATCTCATGTCCAGAACAGAGATCAGTCCAGCAAATACAATTGGCATTCACTGTTGCTGCTGCTTTCAGCCTGCAAACAATACATAATTGATTATGTATCCCCCTCCATATTTGCACTGCATTTCCTTTGCATTGAAATGAATGCCGTGGAATAGCATGATGACAACATAATTTACGTAATTTATGGAATTAATTACACAAATACACAAATTATGTAGTTTTGCCATGGTGGACAGTGAGATAAGCAACAGCAATTTTGAGGGAATATGAGCTGCTGAAATGAATGCAAGGTGGGATGGGACAGAAAATAATGCCTTTTTGCACCCCCATTGCCCACACATGGATTGTTCTTGACTTCCTGATCATGAGTTTGTTTGAGGGAAATGACCCATGATTTCTGGCTCAGATGTAATGCTAAGGCAGGAATTGTGATCTGTTTCCCCCTAGTGCTAGCAAGGAGCAAACTGGGTGCAAATGGTTCACGTGTGGTAAATAATTAACTGTGGTTTACCATGATGTGTAAACCTGCCCATTATGTTACTAATTAATTTTATGAAACAATGCATCCTTAAAAGTGTAAAATTCCTGGCAGAAAAAATATAGCAGAATCGCCAGTTACCTGGGAGGGGATATTCTGGGGCAGCTTTGTGGGTTTCTTTTCCTCCATCTTGGCATTTCCTCCTTGGCTGCACTCTCTTCTGGCCAATGACTCCCTAAAGGCAGATATAATAAATTATTCAAAAGATACACATATGTACATGTTATTCTATTCCTTCAACTTTGAAACTAAGCAGTGGTGCTAAAAACAGCTCTGCCATCTTCTATGTCTATGTGGTACAACAAATAAATGTAGTTTTTGGAGAACTTGGTCTCTATTCAACTACAGATCTACCGGTGGACCCTTGAGCAAATCAGGTGCAATCCCTACTATGTATTTAAAGCACCTTAGAAACACATGGGTTCCCTCAAATAACCCTGGGAGTTGTAGTTTACATAACTACATCCCAGCACCTTTAACAAGACCACATACAGCTGAAAAAGGGAGTGGGAAAGAGCGCCACTCTGTCAACTTCCTTCTTAATCTCTACGTACTTTTAAAAGAAGAAAAAGGCAAGCACTCTCTTTACCTTATGACCAATAGGGCAGTGTGTGTGGGGGACACACAGAGGTTTTGTTGGCCCCAAGGTAAGACCTCAAGGGTCCTATTGGAACCTTGGGTGCCATGTTGTTGACTCCTGCTTCAGTTTCCGCTCTAATTGTTTCCTTCTTGTCTTTTGCCCTTTTGCCAGCTTGCTCTCTGTTCAGCTTTTCATCACCTTGCTCATTCCCCTTCTCTCTCTTCACCACCCTGCACTAAGCAATCTTCTTATAAACTGACCTTTGTTTTCATTTCTCACCATTCTGCGCCCCTCCCATATGCATTCTAGGAACATAAAATGTAAGCTGCTTTATACAGTACTGAGTCAAACCATTGGCACATCTACCTCCATATTGTCAATGTTGACCAGCAGCGGCCCTCCAGGATTTCATACAGGAAATCTTCCCCCACCCTTATATAGAAATGATGGGGATTGAACCTAGGACCTTCAGCATGTAAAGCAAGATGCTCCAGCACTGAGCTATGGTCCAACCCCCTCTAAGATCTTAAGAGTAGGCATTACACACAGCATAGGCTTGCAGGAAGAAGGAGGAACCTGGCTTCTGATGTCCTGTTCCTGGATTTCTGTACTTTCTTGGATACATCCTGCTCCAGTGACACTTGCTGTTCAGGACTGTCTTCCTGGATGCGACCACACAGTACACTGTAGTTGGTGGCAATTGTACGCAATAGCCAATGTAGCCCTTGAACGATGGTCCAGCATTGCATTTTGGGAAGCCTTTTGGAAGCCGAACATGGTTCCTGTAAGATGAAGGTAGAGGACAGCCAGTCTGAAAACCCAGATGCCCCATTCAAGGCAAAGAAAGTGGAGGAGTTTGTGAGTTGGCAGATGGATGTCAACAACATAACCATAATACCTATGGGAGGTCTGTTACAAGAAACTCTGGCAGGCCCTGTCTGGTGACATGTTGAGACCAGCAAGCAAAGGGGAGACATCTCCTGGTGCAATGCAAAACCTGCTACATGACAAGGGAAATTGATGTGTATGAAACGGCTTGCTGCAAGAAGCCACTTTATGCCAAACAACCATCAATGTATTTTCTATGCATCAGGAGTTGTTAACTAAATTAATAATAATATATATAATAATAATATAATAATAATTATTATTATTATTATTATTATTGACCTTTATTGTCACTACACCACCTGTGTGCAGTGAAATTAAATGAGCCCCCCTCCGCCCCACACATACACTCAGTCTTGTTCGCACTCTGTGTGCTTGTTGGAAGTCAATTGCACCACTATTTCCCCCTCCCATTCAGCAGCCCAACAGCCCATGAATAAAAACTGTCCTTTAACCTGTTGGTGCGGCTGACTATACTTCTGTATCTCCTGCCTGAAGGTAGGTGCAAACTAGACCTTATGTGAGCTACATACTGCTAAAATAGTGCTGAATTCCAGGGCCAACCCATCCAGGAGGCAAGGGGAGATGTCCGCTTGCTCTCAGTTAGCCCCTACCTGCTTGCCTTCTTACAACCTGTGCAGGGGGGTCACTGGCTGTTATCTCTACCCTTTTTAGTCTTATGGTTGCCTTTGTGCAACCACAGGGAGCTGGATGGGGGCAAAACTAGAATTATTTGGCTCCATCTGTCATGGCTTCTGAGTCTGCCGACTGGTGTCTTACCAGTCCTAATGGCCACCAGCCTCCATTATTCCAGGTGTTGTGGGACTACAACTCCCATCATCTCTGACCGCAAGGACTTCCTGCCCAGATCTCTCTGACCCAATTGCCTCAATTCCACTGGGCAAGAATTAAAATGGGATACGTAATCTGAGCAAGAGGAAGTAACAATCTGTATAAACTCCATGGAAATGATCATCATGAAGGGCAGAGTGGACAAAAGGGAGACTTCCTTTCCATCCCTTGTGAAGAATAGCCAACCTGTGTAAAGAGGGTATTATCATTTTACTTACAATTCGACACAACGACTTGTTTTCATTCACCAACTTTTCCAGAGACAGGTACTCAATGATCTCACAGGGCAAGAGAGCATCCAGTTTGTCCTGCTTGTTTGCCAGCCTTGAACCATTCACATAGAATTTTGAAAACAGAACAGACGGAAAGGCAAGATTCCATTAGCAAACAGCACACTCACTGTTGTAACTATATCATTTAAAAAAGCAATAGGGAACCTTCGGCCATTCAGATGTTGTTAGACTACATGTCCCATAACTGCTGTCCATTGGCCATGCTGGCTGTGGCTAGTAGGAGTTGTAGTACAAAGGTGAAAGGATCTGTCTACTTCTCAGTTTCTCCTTTTTCCAATTTTACATCCATCAGCATTTTAGGGCAAATTTATCCTAATAATATAACTCTATTTTGTATGCTTCCCATCCCCACAATATCTCCATTTTTATGCATGCTTTCCCCTTATATATGCATTTTTGTAAACATTGTTTGTTTGGAGAACTGAATCACAAAACTTGGGTAAGAATGGATTACAAATAATTGCTGTGTTTTGGTTCACATATTGTTTTAGAAAGTGCAAACTTGATAGACTGAGCTTTAAAGCTTTAAATGTGTGCTGAATCAAATTTATCCTCTAACCCAAAGTCCAACAGCATCTGGAGGGCACTAGGTCTACTATGCAGTCTTGAATGGGCAGATCCACATTTAACATACATTTAAAGCACATGACTTCCTCAAAGGAATTCTGGGAACTGAAGTTTACCCCTCACTGAGCTACCATGCCCAGCACACTTAACAAACTACAGTTCCCAGGATTATGGTTTTCTTGGGGTGGGGGTAGAGCTATGTGCTTTAAATGTATGGTGTTGATGTGACTTTAGGCTTGATAAAAGACTACTAATAGCTCTGATATTCTGCCAGTGTTATTCCATGGGTGCTAAGAGGGCCCAAAAAGATAAAGTGATGGTCAGAGGAGATGACTCATCCCGATTTACCCCTTCTAGTTAGGAAAAGGGTTAGGAAAGTGCTAAACTGTCTATCCCTGCTTCCAGACCATGGGTAGGCAAACTAAGGCCCGGGGGCCGGATCCAGCCCAATCACCTTCTAAATCCAGCCCATGGATGGTCTGGGAATCAGCGTGTTTTGACATGAGTAGAATGTGTCCTTTTATTTAAAATGCATCTCTGGGTTATTTGTGGGGCATAGGAATTCGTTCACACACCCCCAAATATAGTCCAGTCCCCCACAAGTTCTGAGGGACAGTGGACCGGCCCCCTGCTGGAAAAGTTTGCTGACCCCTGCTCCAGACTGTCATTATTTTGTGGGAAGGATTAAAGCACATAGTAGCAAATTAGGTCTGCACAATTAAAGTAGATTAAAGCACTCTGCTGCTGTAGTACAATAAATCCATTTAGAAAAAAGAAAAAAAAGAAAAGAAAGGAAAGGGGTGACCTTTTTTAGTCAGGAAAGTGATGGGGAAGGCACTGAAAGGTGTGGGATAAACAAATTATTAATGGGAAGAAGACATATAAACATCCCATACCCAAATCAGGATGAATGCTATTTGTTGTATCACTGCCTCATCAAACAAATTAGAATGGATGCTCAAGAAAGAGTGGACACTGTACAGCCTCCACAATAGCTTTGGGCAAGCAAACCAGGATGAATGGTCAGTAAATATCTGGAGGAGCTCCAGAACTCTGTAAGGTAACAGTATTTGGCTGTAGGGAGCAGCACCTGTTTCCCGTGAGACCTGGGCTTTGGCTGTCTTTTGGAGCATTTAACCTGCACCTCTGCTCTCTCTGTGTGTGTTTGTAGATAAACACAGATATGACAAAACACCAATGAGCCTCCAGTAGCCTCCTTCCAAAGGGAACTAAAACCTGCCCCCTGGAACTTTTCACTGATCACAGAAGTGGGCTGAGTGTAAGCTGATTGAGATGGCTTGAAGATGCATTTCCCCCCCTGTAAACTGGCTTGTGGATCTGATCATGACTTGGAAGGTATAAAACCACTCCTTTTACTGCTCTCTGTGGCACTTTGTAGTTGCCTCGGATCAGTTCTGCCTGCAACCTCTCTTTCATGTCAGTGGATCTAACATGCCCAGCATCTGATGTCATATATAATGTCAAGTGTAGGGCAGGTGGACGTAGCTTAGCTGAAATGGCCTCATGGCCTAAAGAGGAATCCTAGGTAAAGGTAAAGGGACCCCTGACCATTAGGTCCAGTTGTGACCGACTCTGGGGTTGTGGCGCTCATCTCGCTTTACTGGCCAAGGGAGCCGGAGTACAGCTTCCGGGTCATGTGGCCAGCATGACTAAGCCGCTTCTGGCAAACCAGAGCAGCACATAGAAACGCTGTTTACCTTCCCGCTGGAGTGGTACCTATTTATCTACTTGCACTTTGATGTGCTTATGAATTACTAGGTTGGCAGGAGCTGGGACAGAGCAACAGGAGCTCACCCCTGTTGTGGGGATTAGAACTGTCAACCTTCTGATCGGCAAGTCCTAGGCTCTGTGGTTTAACCCACAGCGCCACCCGCGTCCCAAAGAGGAATCCTAGTGGGTCTAATAAAACAGGGGAGGGGGGAGAGGAGAGGGGAGAGGAATCTCCACCCCTGTTTTACACCCATTCATTCACCACAGGGTACAAAGGAAGGAAAGAAGATGCCAGGAGAATCAGTATCTCACAATAACAGAGGCTTTCCTGAAACTTTGGGGTGCCCCAGAACACAGGAGAGAGTCTTCTTGGCCTCTTCCATCCTTGCCACATCGCTGGAGTCAAGCACAAAGATAATCCCATGTGCAGTGCTGTATTGGTCCCTCCAGGTTCCCAAGGACTGCTGTCCACCAGGCAGGTCAATGAGGGACACCTCAAACCTGTCCACCCTGAGTGCCGTCTGGTTTGGCTTCGTGATGGGAAGCACTTCACAGGAGAGGACTGCAAACAAAAGTAGCAAGAGCAAACAAAACAACAACAAAAACGGGCATCAGTCTCAAGTAAAAATACAGGTAAGCTCATACACCACAGGAGCTTTCCTCTGATTTCCAGAAAAATTATAGGAAATTGCAAGGGGGACCTGATATAAAACGTTGCACAGTGAAGCATTCCTGTTCAGGTCCTTCCTCTAGGATACACCATTGTATTTGCCCACTCAAGCTCTCTTTCCCATTATATTCCCTTGACAGTCAGCATACACTCAGGCTGTGTACGCATCATGCATTTAAAGCACATTTATTCCCCCAAACAATACGGGGAACTGTAGTTTGCTGGAAATTGTACCTCTGTGTTTGTTTGTTTGTTTGTTTGTTTGTGTGCTTTAAATGTATGGTATGTATGCAGCCCAAGTCCTTATTATATTGTTTTGGTAGTCTCCCAGTTTTCTGTTCTTTTGCAAACCTTGGGGTTCCCCAAGCCTACTGATACTACTCTCTTGGCCTTAGGTATTGCCATTTTGTTGGTTTGAGCAATGGTACTCACAGCCCAAACATTGGGAATTAAGGGAGCTTTACTATTTAAGTGATGGTTGTACAGAGTAATGTGTCAGGTCAGCCAGTGCATACAGGGCTCATAGGCAGCTGAAATCAGCAACAAGGGTTATAGGTTGATGTTGAGACTCAGGTCTACCTGACAGCCAGTCTCCTAGAACTAAACTATGTAAGACTGGCTGAGGAATGTTATATGAAAGAAAGGCCTTCAGCACAGGCTGTGGACTCATTCACACTTCCTTTTGCGCCGCATTTCTAGGCACAAGTCTGGGCCTCCCAGGTCTATGTCCCAGCATGTTTTACTGCTGAATCAGAGCAAATGGGTTGCTGTTTGCTCCGGTGGTAAAACATGAGTTTTCCTTGGGAAAGCACCAGAACGGAACAGAATACTCAGATACAGACCTGGAAAGCATGGACCTATAAACTCAGAGCAAAGGTTAAGTGTGGATGAGCCTTTAGAGACACTCCTGTCAGCTCTACTAGGCACTGAGTTCAGGTTCTGGAGTGGAAGAGCTGGAAAGCTTAGCTGACATTAAGTTCTGCTCAGCAACTCACCTCTCTGGATTTCTTTCACCAGGGAACTTTTTCCTGCACTGTCTAGGCCAAGGACAAGGATGGTCACTTTCCTGATGGGAAAGAGAAGGGTAACATAAAGATGCAATCTGGTAACACCTTTGCAGGGAGGGAGGATTAGAGTTCCTATAGCAAAGTGAAATCCAGATGAAATGTTTAAAAAGCATGGGCTGGCCTTTTGATGACATTTTGTTGCAGGGGACACAGTGAGAAACTATTTTGTTGCAGAGGGACACTGCGAAACTATTGCATGGAAACACCTTTTAAAAAGCACACAACTGCTTTGTGGACACATTCCACCCTTTCTCTCCATCCCTATGGCTGCTACTTTTTGTTAAGAAAGATGCATGGCAAGTCCTAAGCATGCCGCTTCAAAAATGTAATTATTGTAATGAGTACTTTGGCCCTGAAGCTCTCCACAGTGGGACCAATAATTCTTCTAAAAATGTTTACAAGCCATTGTTTTGTGAGGAGAATTACCAGTGATGTGAAGGGTCTGTTTTATTTCTCTCCTCTTCCCCCCACCACCCCACAACAGGTGGAGGAGTTCTCTGTTTAAGAACGGCAGGCAAAAATGAATCAGAGCAAATATTTCCTCGTCATTGCATTGCCATTCTGAGGGAACATGGCATACTCATCCCCTCTCTTTGTGAAAATGTGGCATGCGTAGTAGCATAGTGCAGGCCTTCTGTGTTGCTATAGTGATTTTTTTGTGGGGCGCAGGCCTAGTTGAAAGGGCAACATATACTTGGAACAGAAGTGGATGGAAGCACGAAGTGCATCACTTGGCAACCAGCAGGGCTTCAGCTTATTGCCTTAGCAACCTTTGTTTGGCACTATGCAAACAAACCAGAATTCAGTGGTCGTATAAAGCTGGGAGAGAGATGTATGGTGAGTCTCTCGTTACCCAGAATGCTCTGCTTGCTTAGGCGCTAAATGCAGCAGTTCCTTAAAAAAAAAAAAGAAGGGGAAAAAGATATTGAGGCTAAGAGCAGGACCAGAGCAAGGCATTTGCTGTCTGAGGAAAAGAACAAGATTGTGCCGTCTCCCAGTTCCACATGCAGAAGTCAACGCTTTTCATTGCGACGTTAAATCGCTGCTGTTCTCTCACCAAAGAGTACTTTCCTCAAACTTGGGGCTTGACTTCCAGGATTCCAACAACTAGTCCTGGGGCTGCCACCACATGTTACTTTCATCCTCCTTAGTATGTTACCCTTGTAGAAATCCATAGGAATGAGGATGGGGACAAAGTTAGTTAGCTCAACCTGTGGTTCCATCTATAACTAACCTTGCCTTCACCTGCCACTGACTTCTCAGCCTTCTTCCCCACTAGTCCCACCGGGCACCAGATATCCTTGCTCTCCAGATTTACCTCATTGGCTCTTGGAGAGCCTGCAGCCAAGACCAGCAGTAAGAGAAGAGGTGAAACATACTCCAGCAAACCACAGAGATGAACAGGGGTAGGGTGAGTCTCTGGCTTTCCCCCGCCGTCCTTGAAGAAAAATAGCAAAGCAACAACAATCCTGTTGTAAGATTTTTTCCCTTAAAAAAATGGGGGGGGGGATGCTTTACTCGTGGCTATGTGCGTACTTCAGTATAGGGCAGGTTGATGGCTTAAAATAAATAAATAGCAGACTTTAGATTTTAACTATCAGCATCTATCAATGGAACCCAGTACAAAACACATGCTTAAAATCAAAGATTTTGGACTCCACAATTTTGTTTTGAATAGCAGAACTGAATGGCGCTCTCTCAGTCCTTCCACACACATGAGAACATAAGAACAGGCCTGCTAGATCATGCTAGTGTCCCATCTAGTCCACCACAGTCAGATGCCTGTGGCAGACATGCAAGCAGGACATCAGTCACCTGAGCACAGCAGCAGTCTCCCCTCCTGAAGTTTCCAGCAATTGCTATTCAGAAGAATTACTGCCTCCAGTTGTGGAGGAAGATCATAGCCATGAAGGCGAGCACTCTTTGATAGCCCATTTCTCTGTCAAATCCTCTTTCAAAACCATTAGAGTTGGTGGCCATAGCTGGCTCTCATGGGGGTGAGTTCTGTAGTTTAACTGTGAGCCAGGTGAAGTAGTAATTTTATTTTGTCTGTCCTGAATCTTTCAACATTCATCTTCATTGGAAGCCTGTGAGCTCTAGCGTTAAAAGGGAACAGCTTTTCTCTGTCCACCTCCTCCATGCCATGCATAATTCCTTATATACTTGTATCATGTTGCCTCTTACTCAGCTCTTCTCTAAGCTACTCCACCCCCAAGTGCAGTGAGTATACCTGTATATTATACAGTTGTAATCTATCCTGGAACCTTACAGTGAAGTGCAGATTTTTATTTTTTTAAAAAACCTTATAAATAAATACATCCTTTCCTCAAATCTCTCTTTAAAAAGCTCTTTACATGGAATTTGATCCAGGATTTGGCTCTGTAAGAGATTGATGGTCCCTTGCTTCACACACTGCATCTCCCCTTTCCTCTTGAAGACCGTCTCCCAACAGTCAGTTAGGCCTAACCTAACAGAAAGCCATGGCCAGGAATATATTTCAAATATGTGTGGCTAGCAAACCAAGGCAGGCTGAAGAATTCCTATTAGGTCAGGAGGGTGAAATTAAAACAGAAACTCTCACCTGTTTCTTGCTTTCATGTGTTGCTCTTCCCTGTTGATGGCTCCGCTGCATCCAGCTAAACTTAATCTGGATTTAATGTATTCACCACCCCTTGTTTCTTTAATCCCAAGGACATCCAAGGGAGGAAAAACGGCAAATCCAAAGGACTGTCAGTTTGAAGGCCTTGCTTCTTTATCCAGAAATGACAAGATGTGTGTGAGAAGCTGCCTACGATTTCCTGCGCGGGCTATGCCCCGAGTGTCTGAGGAAAGGAGCAATCAGATTTGTCACTTGTTTTAAATGGCTTGAGAAAATGGAACACACCAATTGGGCAGTTCAGCAAATCTCTTGTAATGGATCACATCACGGTTCAGTCAGTCATGTGTTGGTTTAATCCTGGGATTGACCTCTCTGCACCTGCATGAAAGCACAGCCATTCGTTCTGCAGTCATTCTGAAACTTCCTTATTTGCAGGCAACAGTCAGTCAGTGCACTGGATAGATCAGAGATGGGGAACTTGTTGTCCTCCATAATTTGTTGGACTACAATTCCCATTGCCCCTGATAATTGTCCATGCTGGCTGGAGGTGATGGGAGTAGGAGTCCAGCAACATCTAGAGAGCCGCAAGTTTTGTATTCTTGGGAGAGAGAGTCTTGGACAAGTGGGCAATGGCAGCAGGAGAGCCACTGTGAAGCAATTTAAAAAGCAGAGACAATACATTGAAAAGCTTCAGTGTACATAAGACCAATTCATAAAGCAGCATCGATGACAATACAAACATATTGGCAAATAAATTTTAATAAATGAACTACGCTTGGGTGCCCTTTTACATGATTATTTTAGTATGTTTCATACTATACTCTCACTCTAGGAAGCTCAAGGTGGTACGTGGTATTATCCTCTTTATTGTGCATGAGGCAAGGTGAAGCTATTTGCCTTGGGTGGCAGATCTGACCCCCCTCCCTGCCACCACGGTTGTGCAGCTGACAGCCCTGCTGGGGCTTTGCATGTGCCACCCACAAAGTGCCATTGTCCTCACCCCTGCTGCTGTGCCCTCATTGCTGCACCCTTGCAGCACAGCTTGATCATGGTGGCAGCACAGGTGCAGCTGCAGGTGAGTTGTGGTGGCAGGGCTGGCAGCAGTGTGAGCACAACAGCAGAAGCAGGGAGGGGGGGCAGGACTGTTGGGATGTTCTGTTCCACCTTAAGGAACAGGCATGATTGTTGTGTGTCACATGTCTGTTTACACTTCAGCTCAGTATGCTGGGAACTTCTGTTTGTGTACAGTGGTACCTCGGGTTACATACGCTTCAGGTTACACACTCCGCTAACCCAGAAATAGTGCTTCAGGTTAAGAACTTTGCTTCAGCATAAGAACAGAAATCGGGCTCTGGCGGCATGGCGGCAGCAGGAGGGCCCACAAGCTAAAGTGGTGCTTCAGGTTAAGAACAGTTTCAGGTTAAGAACGTGTTAAGTTGTGGGTGAACATATCAGACAACACAGCGATTCTTCAAACAGCTCTTGTTTATTCACAGGTCAGAACAGAACTGAACTGAACTGAAGGGTTCAGCCAGCCTGCTTATATAGAGCTCCACTAGAACGCAACAGTAACCACTTTCTGTAACTATCCAATCACTGAACGTCACTTTCAATCCCTTATTTGCATATGTTGACCTGAGTGAAAACTATCTACAGTATCCCCCTGCTGGCCCAGGGTGAGAACTTCAGTACATAACAGAACAGACCTCCGGAACAAATTAAGTACTTAACCCGAGGTACCACTGTATAGCTTTCTGTTTTGCTTTGGACACGAAGGAGATCAGACATGTTTTCCTTTTGTCCTAATCTACCCTGAATAAACCTGCTTGTAAATATGCACACACAGCCTCTCGTGCCACTTCTGTTTGCGCAGTGTTTATTCTGCTGAATTGTGTGCTCAGTCTTCTGAAGCCTGGGCCGCAGATTCATGCTGCACCAAGGGCCGGAGTTTGCCCAGCACACCGCCTGGTGGGCTGGAGCCAGCTGGGGGCCTGCCAATTGCCCTGGTTTTGCCTTGGGTATATGCCAACAAGGGCAGAGGCTCAGATTTGTGGGTATCATTGGGGCAGGAGCATGGGTGGGGGAATTTTGCCAACAGGGGTGAAATGTATTGAGCCAACCCTGCAAACTAGACTAGTCTGGCACTGGAGAAAGGTGGTAAAATCAAAAAAGCTAGAAGATGAGAGTGCTATAAAACTAGTTAACTGTGAGGGATCTGAGCAGATTAAAGTTGTGTCCTAGATAAAGTCTGCTGTGCTGAAGGGCAGTGAGAAGAGGGGGGGGGGACAAAAAATAGTGGAAGAATGTGGTGTAGTATAGTGATTAGAGCGGGGGTGGCTCTCATGCCAAAAGCTCTTTGAAAGGAATCGTGTCAGACTTTTGCAAAAACAATCTTTCCTTCTCCCAGCAGAGAGTTTGGCAAGGAGGGACTGAGAGAGGAAGAGACAGGGTTGTCAGAAAGAGACAGGTGCCAGGAAGAGTGAGAAAAGAGAGGTGCGCCCCCTTCCTGGATCTCGCCCTGCCCAATACTGTCTTCAGCCCCACAGAATGCCAGCATGCAGCTGATATATCATCGCACAAGGTAATGTGGGCTCTGAGAGATTAAAAGGTTGTCCACCCCTTGCTTACAGCGTTTGGCTATAAATCTTCCAAGGAAAAGAGTTTGAAAAGCAAAATGAAGTCCCTGCACAGGTGGGTGACCTTGGTGGGGTTGTCACTTTCTCTCTCACAGAACTGGTGTATATTTAAAGTGTGTGTGTGTGTGTGTGTGTGTGTGTGTGTGTGCATGCAGGGTTGAGCACAGTGCACTTTATGGGAAACAATTTAGATGCATTAAAATCTGCTGGGAAATGAGTTCTGCATTAGACAGGAAGCAGACTCACACTTTGGCTAAACTCCAGACTAAAATCAGAAGCCAATAATGGTGTCACATTAAACCATGGTTTATTTTAAACTGGGCTTGAAATGTGAATGAGCAGTATGCTGGTAAACACAGCTCAAAAGGCAATGCTTTGGTCCTCCCAGGTTTCTGTATTTAATGAAGCAGTAAAGGAGCAAGCCAGAGACTTGCTTCACATGTAAATCAGCCCTTGCAGTTAATTTGGGGAAAAGAGCTATAGCTGCAAATTATAACATAGATACTTGGTGGGGAGGGGGGGTCCCCCCTGCACTTCTCCTTTCCCCTCTCCCAATTAACCTCTGTCTCCAGTGACCGCCTCCATGACATCACTAGGGCCTGCCTCTGTGACATCACCAGTAGCCGCCCCTAGGTCTCAGGTTTGGAACATGTCTGGGATACTCCTTACCTGACACCCCTAACAATAACTGGTTGTGAGAGTTAGCATGCAAATGAACATCCAATATCTTGTTTTATTGTTATTAATATGCTTGCTTGACTGTTTATTTTCTTATTAACTGTTATTTTTAACATTTGTATTGCTAAATGCTTGTGAAAGAAAGAAAAGTAAGAAACCAGTTCGGCTGCATAAGGAGCTTACAAACGAGCTGAAATTTAAGAAGGGTGTATATAATAAATGGAAGAAAGGGGAAATCACAAAGGAGAAGTATACACAAGTAGTCAGCAGTTGCAGGGAGAAGGTCCGGCAGGCAAAAATTCAGAATGAGCTCAGGCTTGCAAGAGAGGTTAATAATAATACAGTAATAAAAAGTGTCTTTGGCTGTGTTCAAAGCAAGAGGAAGTACAAGCAAGTAGTAGGTCCTCTGTGTCTAGAAGATGGAGAAATGCTATTGGGTGGAACTACTCAACACCTACTTTGCCTCTGTCTTCACCTAAAAAGGAAAGCAATGCCCAACGTGGTGACAACAAAATAAATGATGGACCAGATGACCCTTGGGATCCTTTCCAACTCTGCAATTCTACAACTCTGTGATTCTGTGTGGGTGCAAGTATGTAGAAAGATCTGGCTTTTGCATGACTGGAATTTAGCCTACTGTACAAAGGAAAGAGTCACATCCATTATATTGTGTATTTCTGCTTCTGGCTATGTCCATCATTGGTATCTGGCTCCCACAAGGGCAGCTGTCTCTTGGGTTGGAAAAGGTTCCACACCCTACATGCCCTACATGTTACCTACCTTACTTCATTTGGCAGGGGCCACTTGCAACAGCACTTCTGAAGAGCATCCTTAGGTTTGGGCAAGGTGTTTGCATCTGTCTGTCTCAAGAGGCAATGGAAGAGTGTGCCATCTAAGGTAAAGTCAAACAGTTGGAGAATTACAGCACCTGCTGTGGCTGTAGAGACCAGTATGGGAGAGACACATTTTATTGCAGCTGGGACAGATGAAAGCATCCAGTTTTGCTGTTACAGATGCACCATGGCTTTTCTTCTCTCTGTGCTCCACCTAGCGGTCATTTCTCCTCTGATCACTGCTGTGGATACAGGGCCTGACTGTCTGTCTCCTGGCACAGCAATCTTCTGCAAGGGACTCCTACACAGTGGAGAGGGGGGTTGTCTAATGTTACCAGGCTTCATGTCATGTTGCAGACAACTTTATAATGTAGAGTTAGTCTGCCAATGGGCCTGGTGTCCACAAAGCACATCCTTGGGATTCTGCCATCTTCCATTCTGTGCACATGATCAAGCCAGCATAGACCTTGCTGAGACAGAAGTGGGAGCATGTTGGGAATGTGGACTTGGAAGAGCACATATTTGTTTGAGACTCTGTCCTGCCATGGGATAAAAACCTGACATACTTTTATCTTAGCATGGAGACATCCCAGGTTGAACAGGACAAGACCCCAGTTGCTCCTTGAATGGAAATCCACACCATCTTCAGTTGAGGTGAAGGCACAGGAGACCAACAGGGACAAGAATATGCTAAAGAGAATTGGGACGAGAACACAGCCCTGTTTCACATTGCTCTTTATAGGGAAGGCACCTGAGGATGAACCACACTACTGGATGGTGCCATGCATGTTCCCATGGAAGGACACAATAATCTTGTGGAGCTTAGGTGGGCATCCTAAACTGCTGAGCAGTGTGAAGAGTCCTTTTCAGCTGACAGGGTCAAAGGCCTTTATCAGGTCTGTGAAGGTGATGAACAAGGGGCATATTACCTTTTCTCCTGCAGCTATGAGTAAATCATGTTGACAGACCCTCCAAACTGTCCCTATTTTCCAGGGACATTCCTGATTTAGAGAAGCCGTCCCGGTTTCTGGTTTGATCCCACAATGCCCCACTTTCCTTTAGGATGTCACTATTTTCATTGGAGAAATGTTGGAGGGTATGGAGTTATCTGACCCCCCCAAGCTGCCTGAAGGCAATCCTGTATAGGGAAGGGTTGGGTTTTTACATTAAAAAAATATGTTTTATTGTGTTTTATGTATGTTGGAAGCTGCCCAGAGTGGCTGGGGCAAGCCAGTAAGCCAGTAAGATGTATGGGTTATAAATAGTAAAATTATTATTATCGAATGGGATGTACCTATTTTCATCCAAGAAATGTTGACGGTTGACCTCTGAGCTCTAAAGCCACATTGTGACTCGGGATAGGCCCTGCCAGTGAGAAGGTGTTATTATAGGTACCCTGGTTCCAAGCCATCACTTTAAATTTGGCCTAGGATCAGACGGGGAGTCCGGCAGCTGGCAAAGTACAAATGTAATGTGGTAAAAATGTTCAGTTCTCCCAGTTTAAAGTCTGGACCAACCACAGTTTCTGAGCCATTTACAATACATACATGTTCCAGGTGGTGTTCATGGCACTTTCAATGTGTTTTTTTTTAAAAAAAATGATTCCAGACCTCATGAGCAGAGTACTTTTTAAGAAGTTTTGTCACTAGCAATTTTTGAAGACTGCTTCATGCTGTAGCTTTGAAATTTTGATTTTGAGTTCTCTCCATTCCTTGATTCCCTGCCCCCCCCATTTCAGTTGTTCACATTTCTTCATCAGTTTGCAAGTTTTTAACAAGGAGTCCTCTCCAAAATTTGTCTTCATCTTAATGCTAATTCATCCTAATAAAAACATTTTTGGGTATTTTCAGTAATATGTGAAGTTTTAATGCACACTTCCCCTAATGCAACCATTTTTGTACACATTTTTGTGGTATCACAAAACTGAAATTCGTAATGGTATAGTTGCTGGGGTCTTTTTAAAAATAATAATGACATGCTACCAGACTATGTCATCATTATTCAGCTTCTGTTCCAGAATAATGTACTAAAAAAAGCACCCCTGCTTTATTTTCTACTGACCTTTGTTGGAATGGATCCTCACTATTTTTCATTTGTGTGACATGTATACAAACATTGTCCTGCTTTTTGTGTGTAGGGGCTGAGGATTGGTGGGTGTGTTCTGGGAGTTTCTGTTTCTTGCAACCTCCCTCTCACTCATGTGGGCTGTCATTTTGCAAGCTCATTGCAGAGGAGAGATGTAGCAGACAGAGATGATGGTATTAGGTCAAAGTACTGCTCATGATAGCTGTTGTTAACTGCAGGCAAAATTACATTACAAATAACCAGGTTTGCCATAGGTCAGGCAGGCGCATACCGTAATTTCCCTTCTGATATCCTAAACTCCCGCAAGATTAGAATTCTTGAACAGCAGGCATTAAATGAAAAATGAAATAGAAAAAAGCTCTGAAAATGCTAACCCAAATGTGCATATTCATAACACAAACCTTTGCTGGCTGGAGGAACAAGAAAGGTACCTAAGGGATGTGACAACAGCCACACAACTTTTCTCAATTCAGGCACAATCCACCATTAGTGTGGGAAGGAAACACACACACACACACACACACACACACACACACACACACACACACCGTCTCCAATATCAGCAACATATGGCCAAAGGTGCATACAAGCAGCTAAAAATTCTTTTTGAAAAAACATTACATCATACAACTGTTTACTTACTGCATGCAGAAAGGCCCAGAAATGTGATTTTGGAAGGATAGTCTTTTCAGTTTAAATGTTGATTGGCATCCACCTGTCTCTGGAGACAGTGGAAGAGCGCAACTTCAGGGCTGAAGTCGAACCGTTGGAGAGTTACAGCGCCTGCTGTGGCTGCAGAGTCCGAAATGGGAGAGACATGCTTTGTTGTAGCAGGGGCAGTGAAGATGTCTGGTTGAGCTGATGCAGGTGTACCCTGGATTTGGATGTAGGCTCACATTAAATTGTAAATCAAACTAATTTCTTCCCCAAGCCTAACTGTGGTGCACTAAAGTAGTATGTTACATTACATTTATTAGTAACTTAGATGCAACTTGACGCTTGGTTGGTTTGCCTGCAACCAAGACTGCTCAATATATGATTAGAACAGGAGAAGCGGTGTTAGTTTCGCTGGTGACCTTTATTTGGCTGGCTGGCTGAGCAGGCATCAAGTTACACAGCTGGACCTCTTAGCTGGGAGCACTGAGATAAGCATCTCAAGTTCAACAGTCTCTCGTTTACACAAGTGTACAGCTATAATAATCCACTCTCAGGCTGATCCAGAGGAACCTCATGAAAGCAAGCGGAGTTGTTGTCAATTTACACTTGAGTAGTCAGCAGCAGATACCAACCATAGCTTCCTCGGGAGACCTATTGTCTGGACCTTTGAACTGGCTTTGTGATGTGAGACCAGGTTTCCATGGGAACAGTTGCCCAGGGATACGCTCCATGGCAGAATTTGCATCCTTAGGTGATAACAGAAGCTGCTTGGCTGTTAACCAGTTTAGATGAAAAGAGAGAGCCTCTTTTTCATGTTCCACTGGTCATTCCTTAGAGGCAACCTGCTGTGGAATGGATTCAGAGATGAGACAGTCACATGTGAGTATTTCTGGGGTATAGTTGGCTGTCTTCATGCAGGCATCCTTTTAAGACTTTTCAAACATTTTAAAGCATTTCCCCCAGCACTCTCAAACATCTCTTGGTGTTTCTTGAAGATAGAAGACAGAGGACTGCTGATGACAGGCAAGGCCTGCCCAATTGTTCTTGTGCCAGCTGAGACATCAAAAACGAATGGGAAGAGCTCAGGCTTGTCAAAATTAACATGCCAAAAAGGGAACAGGCTATGTCTGAAGTTGCCAGACCCTGGGTGCCTCTAAGACAGGGATCAGCAAAGTTTTTCCGCAGGGGGCTGGTCCACTGTCCCTCAGACCTTGTGGGGGGGGGGCGGACTATATTTGAAGAAGAAAAAAAGAACGAATTCCTATGCCCCACAAATGACCCAGAGATGCATTTTAAATGAAAGGACACATTCTACTCATGTAAAAACACACTGATTCATGGACCGTCTGCAGGCCGGATTTAGAAGGCAATTGGGCCGGATCCGGCCCCCGGGCCTTAGTTTGCCTACCCATGCTCTAAGACTAGCCCAAGATGCAGCAATTAAACCCATGGACCATCTTCCACCACTTCATCTCAATGGCAGGGAAATGCCTCACCTGTTCCATTTCTGCATGTCAGGCAGGGCCCTTACAAAAGAAAGAAAAAGGAAGGAAGGAGGTTAGCCATCTTTATTAGCAGCATTTGATTTACCAGGAAGTAAACTTCCTCTGAATGGTAGGACTTACTTCTGATGAAGCATATTTAACACAGATCATGAAACTTTTGTGAACATCATTAATGCGGTATAAAAAGTGAAAGAGAACAGTTGTTTTATACTCAGAACACACATTTTCAACAGTGTGCATTTTTCATTCAATTTACAAATGCAGGATGGAGGCGGCGGGGTGTGTGTGTGATTTAAGTGACATTTCGGAATGAATGTCTCTATATCTTCACCCGTGTGATATTTATATTTATAAGTATCTATCGGTGGTGTGCGGTGACATTTTTCATAGGGGAACAGTTAGGGCCAGAGGCACTAGCTTGCAAAGGCGTTTTTTTGGGGGGGAGGATGACGTTGTTCCCTTGAGCATTGCGCCTCCTTCCCTAAGCTGGGCAGAAGCTTTGGGAAGGAGGCATCTCTTGCCCAATGACTGCGCACCACTGTTTAGTAGGGCTTTCCCTATAGTCTATGCCACCATTTCATAGAATCATAGAATTGTAGAGTTGGAAGGGGCCACTGGGGACCTCTAGTTCAACCCCTGTGCAATGCAGGAATCTTTTGCTCAACGTGGCGCTGGAACTCACAGCCCTGAGATTAAGAGCCTCATGCTCTTACTGACTGAGCTATTTTGGCCAAGCCACGCCCACCTGCCTGACCTTTGCCATCAAGCATGACTTGCTTCTGATTACAGTGGTACCTCAGGTTAAGTCCTTAATTCGTTCCGGAGGTCCGTTCTTAACCTGAAACTGTTCTTACCCTGAAGCACCACTTTAGCTAATGGGGTCTCCTGCTGCTGCCGCGCCACCGGAGCACAATTTCTGTTCTCATCCTGAAGCAAAGTTCTTAAACTGAAGCACTGTTTCGGGGTTAGCAGAGTCTGTAACCTGAAGCGTATGTAACCCGAGGTACCACTGTACCTGCTCTTGTTATGAACTCATGCTAGTTAGGGTACAGAATCAAGAAGTTTAAAAGCTGCCAGCAGAGAGAATAAACAGCTTTTGAAGAATAACATTTAGCAATTTCCTTAAAACCCTTTTATTTAATTAAAATGCACTCAAGCTAGGATTGCACTTAGAAACACACACACACATTCCTGTGCCTTGAAACAGCTGCACAAGGATGGGGACACTCAGTGCTATTTTTCTAGAAAAAGAGGTGCCGGAACTCACCAGAAACACCTCCCTTGTTCTCTTAGAAGGGCAATGGCACCCACCTGGGGTGTGCCAGAACTGAGTTCCAGTGAGTTCTGGCTGGGGAAAAAAGCCCTGGGGACACTCAACCCATCACCGTTACGTAAAATAGCACCTGTTAGGATTTCAGGTTGTTGTACAGTTGTAAAAGACAAGTGCTTGGCACAATCTCTTTAAACACTTGTGCCTTCTCAGTGTTTCCTCCCTGCCCCCTTGCAAACTCTGGTTGGTCATGATAATAAAGACAGCAGAACTAATTGCATGCAAACAAGAACAGACTGGCATCAAAAGGTAACTGTGGCCTGGCTAGTCACTGGGGAAGGAAATAGGAAGCTTTTGATAAGGGCTTGGGTGCTGAAAGCGGAGATTTGCCGCTAGTCTGCAGGAGGGAAAGAACAAGGGGCTTGGTTAAAGTTTAGCTTAGCCTTTTAGATGTGTTACAAGTAAGCATCAGATCCTGGTTTCTGTTGGCACAGGACCATTTGGCGCTAAGCAACGCTGCAAACTAGAGTTTTCACTGTCCCCTTTTCTAAAGTGGTACAGCACCTGGTTTGCATGCAGATGGTCCCAGGTTGAATCTCCAGGTAGGACTGATTGAGACTCCTGCCTGAAACCATACAGAGCCACTGTCAGTCAGTGTTGAGAATTCTGAGCTTGATGAACCAATGGGCTGATTGGCAGCCTCCTATATAAACTCATTTAATGCAGGGATACTGAATGTGTGACTCTTCTATTGTGGGACTACAGTCCCCATCATCCCTGGCCATTGGCCATGCTGGCTGGGGGGCTGATAGGAGTTCCAACAACACTTGGAGGGCAAAGAATGACCCATCCTTGGTTGAAATTGTATCTTGAGCCAGAGAGGAAAGTTTTCATTTTCTTTGTGTTGCTTATTTTAATATTGCATTTTTACCTCACCTTTCCTTCAAGGAGCTTAAGGTGGCATACATGGTTCTCTTCCTCCCCATTTTATCTTCACAACAACCCTATGAGGTAGGTTAGGCTGAGAGACTGTGACTGGTGTAAGATCATTCAGTGAGCTTCGTGACTGAGTGGGAATTCAAACCCTGGTCTCCCACAACAAGCCCAGCACTCTATTATTCTTATTTTTTCTAATTGAAGTTGCTCAATTTTTTATTTTACAAAAAGTAAACTGAATGCAACTTACAAATACTGGCTTCTCACCATGTACCTATCTGTTGTGGGGCTGCCAGCTGGCCAGAAAATAAAGTCTGGCCTGTTCTTGTCTCTTGCTGTTGAAAACCAACCTTAGCTTGCAAGGAAGAACAGATGGTTGATCTGCAGAAATCATCCGCAGTGGGATTCAACATGACTACCTGCAGCTCAGGAGTGGCCCAAGCCATTTTGCTGCCTGAAGTAATGGGCAACAGGGTGCATTTCCCATGCCGTGCACAAAATCTGATTAGACTGGTAGTTGAATGTTACTCCACAATTGGTGATTGAACAAAGTCCTCTACCACACCCTTGGACAGCAAGCAAGCTTAGGGGCTGCAGAGCAGAACACAGAGCACACATTTCTAACTACTTTCCACCCCTTGAAATTTGCCACCTGAGGCAGCTACAGCATGTTGCCTCACGGAAGGGCCAGCCCAGTAATTAAAGGGACAACAGCAGAAGCCAACGCAAAGGTTGTAAGTCCTATGCTAGCAGGCTGCTAGATGACCCTTCTTCTAACAGGCAGAAAGTAGTTAGGTATTCTGTACGTGTAAAACAATATTAAGAGACAGCATGTAAAGGGGGAAATGCTTACCTATTGGCATTACCTTCCTAAGAAAAACAATTGCTGAATATTTTCCTGTTGTACAGCTGTAAGAAGCCTATGAGCTCTTACGTGGGGCAGGGAGGAAACCCCAACTTTCTTCATGGCTGCTGCCCATTGGGACTGGTGGAGTGGAAGGCAGGAAGCCCAAACAGTAAGTAGAGTCACAGCCAATGAGAAGCAGAGTTCATCAGTTCCAGTTTTCTCTCCATCTTCCTAAATCTATACATACACATTAAGTGTCCTGGAAGAAGCAAAGATCACCAATGTCGAAGCAATGATTCTTCAACATCAACTTTGTTGGACTGGTCATGTTGTTTGGATATCTGATTATCGTCTTCCAAAGCAACTACTCTATTCCAAACTTAAAAATGGAAAAAGTAATTCCTGGTGGTCAACAAAGGAGGTTTAAAGACTCTCTCAAGGCAAATCTAAAAAAAATCTAGTATAAACACTGACACCTGGGAAACACTGATCTGTGAGCACTCCAGTTGGAGAACAGCCTTTACCGAAGGTGTCGTGGACTTTGAAGATGCTCGAACTCAGGATGAAAGGGAGAAATGAGCTAAGAGGAAGGCATTTGGCAAACCCTCACTATGATCAACTCCCGCCTGGAAACCTATGTCCCCACTGTGGAAGGATGTATGGATCCAGAATTAGCTTCCACAGTCACTTACGGACTCACTGTTAAGACCATGTTCATGGAAAACAATCTTACTTGGCTATGAGTAATCACCCAGGAAGAAGAAGACTGAACACAAAGAGAAGGCTGTAGTGCTTCCAGCAAGCCCCCCTTTGCTAGCAGTCCTTACAAACTGTGCAGGCATCAAAGATGCCCCGGGAGGAGGCTACAGAGGCTGCTAGAATGCCTTCTGATCACAGTCATCCTTTGATCACAAAGGGTGCTGGTCAGGCCAGAAGCAAAAGTACACAGTGTGCATTAGCATGAATTGAAGACTCAAAACAATTAGCCAAATATGGTTGCCAGTGCAGCTTTCTCCCTACATGGCAGGTAGGCCAGCTCTGGCAGGGATGCTTCAGATACATTATCTTGGCTGGAAATCATAAGTACACCAGGCCTGACTCACTGTACCCATTTGCTGGCAGGTCTTGGTTTCCATTTCAGAATGGGGGTGGAGAGAAGGAGACGAGTGGGTGGGAGAGTTGCCAGTTTGTTTATTGCCCTCTGCATCATCTTTGTTTGCAAGGGATAAACAGGCAGTGATCATGCTTTTTTCCATGCTGCTGAGGGTAGCGGTGGGAAATCTCCTGTGTTCAAGGCACAAGCTCACTTTTTCTTTGACCT